TACCAACGTACCCGTGGATGAAACAATCGGAATGATAGCAGACAGAGTGTATCGTGATCCGGCCTGTACTCCTCTTGACATACCAGAAAACATTCTAAGGAAACTACTCCAAGCTTGTACTAAAGAGGCACCCTTCTTGAGCCCGGATGGGCACATGTATAAGCAAGTAGATGGGGTCGCCATGAGTCCTCCCCTAGGTGTCGTTTTTGCGAACTTCTACATGGGTACCATCAAACAAAAGGTCTTAGTCGACATGAACTTGAAACTGGCCGTATACTGCAGGTATGTTGACGACATTTTTACACAGGTACCTGATGTCAGACATCTGCAGGAGCTGAAGGAGGCATTTGAGCGGAATTCTGTGTTGCGTTTCACTTACGAGATGTAGAAGGATGGGAAGCTGCCCTTTCTAGATGTAACAGTCATGGAAAAGAGCAGAAGTTTCCACACTGCAGTCTACACTAAGGAAACAAACATAGGAATGTGCCTCAATGCCAACAGTGACTGCCCAGACAGGTACAAGAGGAGTGTTGTTAACGCTTATGTCGACCGTGCTCTCAGCCATGAAGCGATCCGGGCATAAAAAACTTAAATGACTAAAGCTTAATACTAATTGAGCATAAAGAATAAAATGAGTTGAGAACAAATAAAAAAAAAGAGATAAAAAAGGGGGAACATAGCTGAAAAAGCAGCACAAATACAATTCTGTCGACAAACAGCGTCATTTAAAAAAAAACAGACATTGGTTGACGATAGAGGGGTAAGGTAGGTTACAGGGAATTTATTAGATATAGCTTCGTTTTTATCTTAAACTGGTTGAGATAGGTACAGTCTTTAACATGGTTGGGAAGGTCATTCCACATTCTGGGTCCCTTGATTTGTAGAGCATTTCTAGTTTGATTAAGTCGTACTCTAGGAATATCAAAACTGTATTTATTTCTGGTGTGGTGCTCATGGGTTCTGTTACAACCTTCTATGAAGCTTTTGAGGTCAGGATTGGCATTACAGTTCAGCGTTTTATATATGTATAATACACATGAGAGAATCTGCAGTGACTTAATATCTAACATATTCAGAGATTTGAGTAGGGGTACCGAGTGATGTCTGGGGCCAGAGTTGGATATTGTCCTAATAGCAGCTTTGTGTTGAGTAACTAGAGGACGTAAATGATTTTGGGTAGTAGAATATAGTAGATATATATATTAACTCACGCCTACATGAGTAATTTGGCTCCTAGCCTAAACTCTACCAAACTCTGTGGCGCGGGTTCGATTCCCGCACGAGGCAGAAACAAATGGGCAAAGTTTCTTTCACCCTAAGTGCCCCTGTTACCTAGCAGTAAATAGGTACCTGGGAGTTAGTCAGCTGTCACGGGCTGCTTCCTGGGGGTGTGTGTGTGTGGTGTGGGAAAAAAAAAAAAAAAAAGTAGTTAGTAAACAGTTGATTGACAGTTGAGAGGCGGGCCGAAAGAGCAAAGCTCAACCCCCGTAAAAACACAACTAGTAAACACAGGTAGTGATAATAGAGACAATGCTCACGACATGAATGATATTCTAGCTCACCTATTCAAGGGGTAATGGGAGGGAAAATTATCTACCTTAACTCTTTCTGCTACATAGTCGACGTATCCTCTGGCGAGGGTCACTGAGGTCCGCGGTCCTGTTGTTTGGTCCTCAGTTGATTGGGGTCCTGTACACACAAGGTCCTCAGTCGACTTGTAGATGCGTGTCCTCGCCGTTCTCACACCCCGCAGACAAGTCCTCCTCCTCCTCCTCCTGAGGTACTGGAGACAGGTCCCTGAGCACGCCGCCTTTTTCCTCCCACACTGGAACTGTAGATGACTTGCAGTCTGGTTCAGTGTCCCCTCCTCGGTCTGCCAGTGGACTTGACCTCGGGCACAGCAGCTCGCCTGATGCGTTTGAATGTGGCCTGCTAGGCGTCCCAGCCAAACGTTCGTCTCTGCCACAGACTATCGGTAAAAGAGCTCTTGGCACTCTAACACCAGCCAAGCCTTGCTTCCATGTACTCTACAGGAGTCAGATGACCTCTCACGATGTCTGCAGTATCAATGCGGCTGGTTGGGGCTTCTTAACCTCTAAATCGGGGCTCACTTGAGCGCGGCCGCTCTTTATGATGGGCCGTGATGTACTGAGCCTGCAGGGGGTGCCTACCACCCGAAGCCCTCCGCCTCATGACATCACACCGCCCGAGAGCTCCTCCCCATTGGTCCATGATGTCACATGATCCTACCTGGCCAATCAACAACCGGCAGGCGTCACGCTTCTTTGGCGGGGAGCGGAGCGCCTCGGCGCTATCTTGTAACTCAAAAGGGGGTAAGCCACTTGTATAACCAAACTAAAACTGCAAATTCACTGCCAACACAATAACGTTCCATACTTTCATATATATCAAAATGTTCCTTAAACATCAGAGAACGTTCAGGTCACAGAGATATGACTCTTGAAGCTGAGACAGGAAAGATATGGGGGTGGGACACCGTCACACTAAGCAAGTTACTCGCCCGATTCACAGACCTCCAGTACCATTGAAAGAGTTAGTGATGTTAGACAATTTAGTGTGTAGGGTAGTAAAGCTAGGGACAGCCGCGAGGAAGTGTTGTCAGTTAGTTGTTCCAGCTGTCTTGGTACCAACTGTGTTAAAAATTATCCATGATGCTCCCACAAGTGCACATCCAGGAAAGGATCATACACTTCAGCAAGGTCCATTGAAGTATTTTTGGCCAAAAATGGCCAAGAAGATTGCTCATTATGTTGACAGATGTTTAACCTGCTTACAGCACAATTAAGACATGTAGCAGGATCTAATCCAATTCAGATGTACCCAGCAACGAAAGCTCCTTGGGAACGAGTATCAATGAATTTGTTGACAAATTTTGCGGAAACAGAAAAAGGGAATAAACACTTGCTTGTAATGGTTGATAATTTTTCAAGGTATTGCAAACTAGTTCCTATCCCGAACAACAGCAGAAACTATAGCCAGTGCATTCCATGACCAAATAATTTGTAGATATAGTATGCCTAAAGTAATCCTTTCAGATAATGGTCCAGAATTCAGTAATAGTATTTTAAATAGCTTGCGTGATTTATATAACATTAAAAAATGTAATATTATGCCATATCACCCAGCAAGTAATGGCTTAGCAGAGCATACTAACAGGAAAGTATTAGATGCCTTGAGAGTCACGTTGAATTTTAATAACAGTAATCGGGATGATTTCCTACCATTAATTCAGTGTGCCATAAATTCTTCAATTAATGTTTCTACAGGCGACACTCCTCATGCTATTCTTTATGGTACAGATAAGATCCTCCCTAATGAACTGACTAACGTACCCCCTACTCCTTTGTATAACGTAGATGATTTTGTTCAAATAAAGCGTAGACAAATGCAACTAGTTTTCAAGAAAATACGGGATCAACTGTCCAAGTAAGTAAGTAATTATCAATAGAAGGCACCAAACTGGGAAGGCTATATAGCACCATAAAATGTGCAGGATAATCACAGGGCGCTAAATATCACCAAGGATGCCAATACGAGAACAAAAACGCATAAGGTGAATGATATCAAAAGTATTCGAGTCACAAAGAATTCTATCGAGGGACAAGCGACCGCGGGGGACGGCCGGAAAACAAGACACTACGAGAGTTAACTACCACCACGAAGGTGGATTGACACCGGGAAAGCAGGAGACGAAGAGCATAGAGGATAGCATAAAGTTCTGCTGTCAAGATGCTAGCCTCCAGAGGAAATTGCAGTGAATTCAATTTAAGCTTTGTTAATCTTTCTTCATATGAAAGATTTCTAATTTGGGGAAGTAACTTAGTCATCCTACGCTGAACATGTTCAAGTGAATTTATATCCATTCTATAGTACGGCGACCAAAACTGAACTGCATAATCTAAACGGGGCCTAACCAGAGCAAGATATAGCTGAAGAACAACACCAGGTGTCTTGTTACTAACGCTTCGATTAATAAATCCCAGTGTCCTATTTGCCTTATTATGAACATTCATGCATTGATCTTTTTGTTTTAAATTCTTACTAATCATAACTCCCAGATCCCTTTCGCAATCCGACTTCGCAATCTCAACACCATCTAGCTCGTATCATGTAGCTCTATCATCATTACCTAGCCTCAAAACTTTACATTTATCAACATTAAACTGCATCTGCCAATCTTTTGACCATTTCAAACCCCTATTTAGATCAACTTGAAGTGATAGTGAGTCTTCTTCCATGTTAATTTCCCTACCGATTTTTGTATCATCTGGAAATTTGCAGATGTTGTTACTCAAACCTGAATCTAAATCATTTATATATATATTAAAAAACAACAGAGGTCCCAGGACAGAGCCTTGAGGCACTCCACTAACAACATTATCCCACTCTGACATAATCCCATTTATACTAACTCTCTGTTTTCTTTGGAATAGCCATGCCCTAATTCAACTTAATATAGCACCCCCAATACCATGAGCCTCTATTTTTTTAATCAGTCTTTCATGTGGCACTGTATCAAAAGCTTTGCTAAAGTCAAGGTACACAACATAAGGTTCTTCAAATCCTTTGTTATCCACTTTGGGTCATTAGTATTCGATCTATTCAATTTGTATGGTTCCTGTGCTTTGCTTAGAATATTCCTAAATAAGTTATAATTTGAATCCACATCGAAATCCCCTTTTACGTCACTAATTGCTGGGTTCATGTCCTGCTCCAAGACCTGTCCACCCTCCCCCATGCCCAAGACTTTCCAGTCCATTTGACCCAAAAAAAATATTAGGTTACCTTCTTACATCATGAGTTTTGTCTATTATCCAAGTATTTTTATGAATTTATTTATTGTTTATTTATTTTTAATAAAAATACATTTTAATTTTTGAGAGAGAGAGAGAGGGGTAGGGTGAGAGAGAGAGAGAGAGGGGGGGGGGGAAGATCAAGAGGGAGAGAGATGGTATTCCCAAGATAAAGACATCCTGCAGGAGGAGGCCGCCGGGGTGATGACAGTCGCCAGTAGAAGCCGCTGCACACCACTAGACTCCTCGACCTCTCGGGTGGACCTTCAACTACTCTCTCAAGGTAATTCTTCACAACGTTGCTTGTTGATGGCACCCATTGTGCACCCATCCTCATACTCTGAGTCTACATAGTCGTCCTGTCAGTCTACATACTCATGCTGTCAGTCTACATACTCATGCTGTCAGTCTACATACTCATACTATGAGCCTTCATACTCATACTGTGAGCCTACATACTCATGCTGTCAGTCTACATACTCACACTGTGAGTCTACATACTCATACTGTGAGTCTACATACTCATACTGTGAACTTACATGTTCATACTGTAAGCCTACATACTAGTCCTGTGCGTCCATATATTTGTCCTGTGAGTGGTAGCATGACAACTACCAGTACTGTAACTGCCAGTACTGTAACTGCCAGTACTGTAACTACCAGTACTGTAACTGCCAGTACTGTAACTACCAGTACTGTAACTGCCAGTACTGTAACTGCCAGTACTGTAACTGCCAGTACTGTAACTGCCAGTACTGTAACTACCAGTACTGTAACTGCCAGTACTGTAACTACCAGTACTGTAACTGCCAGTACTGTAACTACCAGTACTGTAACTACCAGTACTGTAACTACCAGTACTGTAACTGCCAGTACTGTAACTACCAGTACTGTAACTACCAGTACTGTAACTGCCAGTACTGTAACTGCCAGTACTGTAACTACCAGTACTGTAACTGCCAGTACTGTAACTGCCAGTACTGTAACTGCCAGTACTGTAACTACCAGTACTGTAACTGCCAGTACTGTAACTGCCAGTACTGTAACTACCAGTACTGTAACTGTCAGTACTGTAACTGCCAGTACTGTAACTGCCAGTACTGTAACTACCAGTACTGTAACTGTCAGTACTGTAACTGCCAGTACTGTAACTACCAGTACTGTAACTGTCAGTACTGTAACTGCCAGTACTGTAACTACCAGTACTGTAACTGCCAGTACTGTAACTGCCAGTACTGTAACTACCAGTACTGTAACTACCAGTACTGTAACTGCCAGTACTGTAACTACCAGTACTGTAACTGTCAGTACTGTAACTGCCAGTACTGTAACTACCAGTACTGTAACTGTCAGTACTGTAACTGCCAGTACTGTAACTACCAGTACTGTAACTACCAGTACTGTAACTGTCAGTACTGTAACTACCAGTACTGTAACTGTCAGTACTGTAACTACCAGTACTGTAACTGTCAGTACTGTAACTACCAGTACTGTAACTACCAGTACTGTAACTGTCAGTACTGTAACTGCCAGTACTGTAACTACCAGTACTGTAACTACCAGTACTGTAACTACCAGTACTGTAACTGTCAGTACTGTAACTGCCAGTACTGTAACTACCAGTACTGTAACTACCAGTACTGTAACTGCCAGTACTGTAACTGTCAGTACTGTAACTGCCAGTACTGTAACTACCAGTACTGTAACTACCAGTACTGTAACTACCAGTACTGTAACTGCCAGTACTGTAACTACCAGTACTGTAACTACCAGTACTGTAACCACCAGTACTGTAACTGCCAGTACTGTAACTGCCAGTACTGTAACTGCCAGTACTGTAACTGCCAGTACTGTAACTGCCAGTACTGTAACTACCAGTACTGTAACTGCCAGTACTGTAACTGCCAGTACTGTAACTGCCAGTACTGTAACTACCAGTACTGTAACTACCAGTACTGTAACTGCCAGTACTGTAACTGCCAGTACTGTAACTACCAGTACTGTAACTACCAGTACTGTAACTGCCAGTACTGTAACTGCCAGTACTGTAACTACCAGTACTGTAACTGCCAGTACTGTAACTGCCAGTACTGTAACTACCAGTACTGTAACTACCAGTACTGTAACTACCAGTACTGTAACTGCCAGTACTGTAACTGCCAGTACTGTAACTACCAGTACTGTAACTACCAGTACTGTAACTGCCAGTACTGTAACTGCCAGTACTGTAACTGCCAGTACTGTAACTACCAGTACTGTAACTGCCAGTACTGTAACTACCAGTACTGTAACTGCCAGTACTGTAACTGCCAGTACTGTAACTGCCAGTACTGTAACTACCAGTACTGTAACTACCAGTACTGTAACTACCAGTACTGTAACTACCAGTACTGTAACTACCAGTACTGTAACTGCCAGTACTGTAACTACCAGTACTGTAACTGCCAGTACTGTAACTACCAGTACTGTAACTGCCAGTACTGTAACTGCCAGTACTGTAACTGCCAGTACTGTAACTACCAGTACTGTAACTACCAGTACTGTAACTGCCAGTACTGTAACTGCCAGTACTGTAACTACCAGTACTGTAACTACCAGTACTGTAACTACCATGAGCTTAACAAGGGGTCCAGGAAGCTCTGAATGAGAACAGCCACAACAACCTAACTTATCCATGAATAAAATGTCAGTATAAGTTACGTTACAGCTTGACTGTAAGTTATTTACAGACAGTTATAAGAGGAGGAAGGTCCAGGTAATTCACCAGTCGACAGATGTACTAATCTTGAGTGTTACTGGCTTAGCCAACAGTTACACTTGTGTTACTGGCATAGCCAACAGTTACACTTGTGTTACTGGCATAGTCAACAGTTACACTTGTGTTACTGGCATAGCCAACAGTTACACTTGTGTTACTGGCATAGTCAACAGTTACACTTGTGTTACTGGCATAGCCAACAGTTACACTTGTGTTACTGGCATAGTCAACAGTTACACTTGTGTTACTGGCATAGCCAACAGTTACACTTGTGTTACTGGCATAGTCAACAGTTACACTTGTGTTACTGGCATAGTCAACAGTTACACTTGTGTTACTGGCATAGTCAACAGTTACACTTGTGTTACTGGCATAGTCAACAGTTACACTTGTGTTACTGGCATAGCCAACAGTTACACTTGTGTTACTGGCATAGTCAACAGTTACACTTGTGTTACTGGCATAGCCAACAGTTACACTTGTGTTACTGGCATAGTCAACAGTTACACTTGTGTTACTGGCATAGTCAACAGTTACACTTGTGTTACTGGCATAGTCAACAGTTACACTTGTGTTACTGGCATAGTCAACAGTTACACTTGTGTTACTGGCATAGCCAACAGTTACACTTGTGTTACTGGCATAGTCAACAGTTACACTTGTGTTACTGGAATAGCCAATAGTTACACTTGTTGTACTGGCATAGTCAACAGTTACACTTGTGTTACTGGCATAGTCAACAGTTACACTTGTGTTACTGGCATAGTCAACAGTTACACTTGTGTTACTGGCATAGTCAACAGTTACACTTGTGTTACTGGCATAGCCAACAGTTACACTTGTGTTACTGGCATAGTCAGCAGTTACACTTGTGTTACTGGCATAGTCAACAGTTACACTTGTGTTACTGGTATAGTCAACAGTTAAACTGGTGTTTAACTGTTGACTATTCCAGCACAGTAGTACACACAAAAACAGTAGTATACACCAGCACAGTAGTACACACAAAAAAAGTAGTATACACCAGCACAGTAGTATACACCAGCACAGTAGTACACACAAAAACAGTAGTATACACCAGCACAGTAGTACACACAAAAAAAGTAGTATACACCAGCACAGTAGTACACACAAAAACAGCAGTATACACCAGCACAGTAGTACACACCAACACAGTAGTACACACCAACACAGTAGTACACACTAGCACAGTAGTACACACCAACACAGTAGTACACACCAGCACAGTAGTACACACTAACACAGTAGTACACACCAACACAGTAGTACACACCAGCACAGTAGTACACACCAACACAGTAGTACACACCAGCACAGTAGTACACACCAACACAGTAGTACACACCAACACAGTAGTACACACCAACACAGTAGTACACACTAGCACAGTAGTACACACCAACACAGTAGTACACACCAGCACAGTAGTACACACCAACACAGTAGTACACACCAGCACAATAGTACACACAAACACAGTAGTACACACTAACACAGTAGTACACACCAACAAAGTAGTACACACTAACACAGTAGTACACACCAACACAGTAGTACACACCAACACAGTAGTACACACCAGCACAGTAGTACACACTAACACAGTAGTACACACCAACACAGTAGTACACACCAGCACAGTAGTACTCACTAGCACAGTAGTACACACCAACACAGTAGTACACACCAACACAGTAGTACTCACCAACACAGTAGTACACACCAACACAGTAGTACACACCAGCACAGTAGTACACACTAACACAGTAGTACACACCAACACAGTAGTACACACCAACACAGTAGTACTCACTAGCACAGTAGTACACACCAACACAGTAGTACACACCAACACAGTAGTACTCACTAGCACAGTAGTACACACCAACACAGTAGTACACACCAACACAGTAGTACACACCAACACAGTAGTACACACCAGCACAGTAGTACACACTAACACAGTAGTACACACCAACACAGTAGTACTCACTAGCACAGTAGTATACACCAACACAGTAGTACACACCAGCACAGTAGTACACACTAACACAGTAGTACACACCAACACAGTAGTACACACCAGCACAGTAGTACTCACTAACACAGTAGTACACACCAACACAGTAGTACACACCAGCACAGTAGTACACACTAACACAGTAGTACACACCAACACAGTAGTACACACCAACACAGTAGTACACACTAACACAGTAGTACACACCAACACAGTAGTAAACACTAACACAGTAGTACACACCAACACAGTAGTACTCACTAGCACAGTAGTACACACCAACACAGTAGTACACACCAACACAGTAGTACACACTAACACAGTAGTACACACCAACACAGTAGTACACACCAGCACAGTAGTACTCACTAACACAGTAGTACACACCAACACAGTAGTACACACCAACACAGTAGTACACACCAACACAGTAGTACACACCAACACAGTAGTACTCACTAGCACAGTAGTACACATCAACACAGTAGTACTCACTAGCACAGTAGTACTCACTAGCACAGTAGTACACACCAGCACAGTAGTACACACCAACACAGTAGTACACACTAACACAGTAGTACACACCAACACAGTAGTACACACTAACACAGTAGTACACACCAACACAGTAGTACACACCAACACAGTAGTACACATCAGCACAGTAGTACACACTAACACAGTAGTACACACCAACACAGTAGTACACACCAGCACAGTAGTACTCACTAGCACAGTAGTACACACCAACACAGTAGTACACACCAACACAGTAGTACTCACCAACACAGTAGTACACACCAACACAGTAGTACACACCAACACAGTAGTACACACTAACACAGTAGTACACACCAACACAGTAGTACACACCAACACAGTAGTACACACCAGCACAGTAGTACACACTAACACAGTAGTACACACCAACACAGTAGTACACACCAGCACAGTAGTACTCACTAGCACAGTAGTACACACCAACACAGTAGTACACACCAACACAGTAGTACTCACCAACACAGTAGTACACACCAACACAGTAGTACACACCAGCACAGTAGTACACACTAACACAGTAGTACACACCAACACAGTAGTACACACCAACACAGTAGTACTCACTAGCACAGTAGTACACACCAACACAGTAGTACACACCAACACTGTAGTACTCACTAGCACAGTAGTACACACCAACACAGTAGTACACACCAACACAGTAGTACACACCAACACAGTAGTACACACCAGCACAGTAGTACACACTAACACAGTAGTACACACCAACACAGTAGTACTCACTAGCACAGTAGTACACACCAACACAGTAGTACACACCAGCACAGTAGTACACACTAACACAGTAGTACACACCAACACAGTAGTACACACCAGCACAGTAGTACTCACTAACACAGTAGTACACACCAACACAGTAGTACACACCAGCACAGTAGTACACACTAACACAGTAGTACACACCAACACAGTAGTACACACCAACACAGTAGTAAACACCAACACAGTAGTACACACCAACACAGTAGTACTCACTAGCACAGTAGTACACACCAACACAGTAGTACACACCAACACAGTAGTACACACTAACACAGTAGTACACACCAACACAGTAGTACACACCAGCACAGTAGTACTCACTAACACAGTAGTACACACCAACACAGTAGTACACACCAACACAGTAGTACACACCAACACAGTAGTACACACTAACACAGTAGTACACACCAACACAGTAGTACTCACTAGCACAGTAGTACACACCAACACAGTAGTACTCACTAGCACAGTAGTACTCACTAGCACAGTAGTACACACCAGCACAGTAGTACACACCAACACAGTAGTACACACCAACACAGTAGTACACACCAGCACAGTAGTACACACCAACACAGTAGTACACACCAACACAGTAGTACTCACTAGCACAGTAGTACACACCAACACAGTAGTATACACCAGCACAGTAGTACACACCAACACAGTAGTACACACCAACACAGTAGTACTCACTAGCACAGTAGTACACACCAACACAGTAGTACACACCAACACAGTAGTACTCACTAGCACAGTAGTACACACCAACACAGTAGTACTCACTAGCACAGTAGTACACACCAACACAGTAGTACACACCAGCACAGTAGTACACACTAACACAGTAGTACACACCAACACAGTAGTACACACCAACACAGTAGTACTCACTAGCACAGTAGTACACACCAACACAGTAGTACACACCAGCACAGTAGTACACACTAACACAGTAGTACACACCAACACAGTAGTACACACCAGCACAGTAGTACTCACTAACACAGTAGTACACACCAACACAGTAGTACACACCAGCACAGTAGTACACACTAACACAGTAGTACACACCAACACAGTAGTACACACCAACACAGTAGTACACACCAGCACAGTAGTACTCACTAACACAGTAGTACACACCAACACAGTAGTACACACCAGCACAGTAGTACACACTAACACAGTAGTACACACCAACACAGTAGTACACACCAACACAGTAGTACACACTAACACAGTAGTACACACCAACACAGTAGTCAACACTAACACAGTAGTACACACCAACACAGTAGTACTCACTAGCACAGTAGTACACACCAACACAGTAGTACACACCAACACAGTAGTACTCACTAGCACAGTAGTACACACCAACACAGTAGTACTCACTAGCACAGTAGTACACACCAACACAGTAGTACACACCAGCACAGTAGTACACACTAACACAGTAGTACACACCAACACAGTAGTACACACCAACACAGTAGTACTCACTAGCACAGTAGTACACACCAACACAGTAGTACACACCAGCACAGTAGTACACACTAACACAGTAGTACACACCAACACAGTAGTACACACCAGCACAGTAGTACTCACTAACACAGTAGTACACACCAACACAGTAGTACACACCAGCACAGTAGTACACACTAACACAGTAGTACACACCAACACAGTAGTACACACTAACACAGTAGTACACACCAACACAGTAGTACACACCAACACAGTAGTACACACCAGCACAGTAGTACACACTAACACAGTAGTACACACCAACACAGTAGTACACACCAGCACAGTAGTACTCACTAGCACAGTAGTACACACCAACACAGTAGTACACACCAACACAGTAGTACTCACCAACACAGTAGTACACACCAACACAGTAGTACACACCAGCACAGTAGTACACACTAACACAGTAGTACACACCAACACAGTAGTACACACCAACACAGTAGTACTCACTAGCACAGTAGTACACACCAACACAGTAGTACACACCAACACAGTAGTACTCACTAGCACAGTAGTACACACCAACACAGTAGTACACACCAACACAGTAGTACACACCAACACAGTAGTACACACCAGCACAGTAGTACACACTAACACAGTAGTACACACCAACACAGTAGTACTCACTAGCACAGTAGTATACACCAACACAGTAGTACACACCAGCACAGTAGTACACACTAACACAGTAGTACACACCAACACAGTAGTACACACCAGCACAGTAGTACTCACTAACACAGTAGTACACACCAACACAGTAGTACACACCAGCACAGTAGTACACACTAACACAGTAGTACACACCAACACAGTAGTACACACCAACACAGTAGTACACACTAACACAGTAGTACACACCAACACAGTAGTAAACACTAACACAGTAGTACACACCAACACAGTAGTACTCACTAGCACAGTAGTACACACCAACACAGTAGTACACACCAACACAGTAGTACACACTAACACAGTAGTACACACCAACACAGTAGTACACACCAGCACAGTAGTACTCACTAACACAGTAGTACACACCAACACAGTAGTACACACCAACACAGTAGTACACACCAACACAGTAGTACACACCAACACAGTAGTACTCACTAGCACAGTAGTACACATCAACACAGTAGTACTCACTAGCACAGTAGTACTCACTAGCACAGTAGTACACACCAGCACAGTAGTACACACCAACACAGTAGTACACACTAACACAGTAGTACACACCAACACAGTAGTACACACTAACACAGTAGTACACACCAACACAGTAGTACACACCAACACAGTAGTACACATCAGCACAGTAGTACACACTAACACAGTAGTACACACCAACACAGTAGTACACACCAGCACAGTAGTACTCACTAGCACAGTAGTACACACCAACACAGTAGTACACACCAACACAGTAGTACTCACCAACACAGTAGTACACACCAACACAGTAGTACACACCAACACAGTAGTACACACTAACACAGTAGTACACACCAACACAGTAGTACACACCAACACAGTAGTACACACCAGCACAGTAGTACACACTAACACAGTAGTACACACCAACACAGTAGTACACACCAGCACAGTAGTACTCACTAGCACAGTAGTACACACCAACACAGTAGTACACACCAACACAGTAGTACTCACCAACACAGTAGTACACACCAACACAGTAGTACACACCAGCACAGTAGTACACACTAACACAGTAGTACACACCAACACAGTAGTACACACCAACACAGTAGTACTCACTAGCACAGTAGTACACACCAACACAGTAGTACACACCAACACTGTAGTACTCACTAGCACAGTAGTACACACCAACACAGTAGTACACACCAACACAGTAGTACACACCAACACAGTAGTACACACCAGCACAGTAGTACACACTAACACAGTAGTACACACCAACACAGTAGTACTCACTAGCACAGTAGTACACACCAACACAGTAGTACACACCAGCACAGTAGTACACACTAACACAGTAGTACACACCAACACAGTAGTACACACCAGCACAGTAGTACTCACTAACACAGTAGTACACACCAACACAGTAGTACACACCAGCACAGTAGTACACACTAACACAGTAGTACACACCAACACAGTAGTACACACCAACACAGTAGTAAACACCAACACAGTAGTACACACCAACACAGTAGTACTCACTAGCACAGTAGTACACACCAACACAGTAGTACACACCAACACAGTAGTACACACTAACACAGTAGTACACACCAACACAGTAGTACACACCAGCACAGTAGTACTCACTAACACAGTAGTACACACCAACACAGTAGTACACACCAACACAGTAGTACACACCAACACAGTAGTACACACTAACACAGTAGTACACACCAACACAGTAGTACTCACTAGCACAGTAGTACACACCAACACAGTAGTACTCACTAGCACAGTAGTACTCACTAGCACAGTAGTACACACCAGCACAGTAGTACACACCAACACAGTAGTACACACCAACACAGTAGTACACACCAGCACAGTAGTACACACCAACACAGTAGTACACACCAACACAGTAGTACTCACTAGCACAGTAGTACACACCAACACAGTAGTATACACCAGCACAGTAGTACACACCAACACAGTAGTACACACCAACACAGTAGTACTCACTAGCACAGTAGTACACACCAACACAGTAGTACACACCAACACAGTAGTACTCACTAGCACAGTAGTACACACCAACACAGTAGTACTCACTAGCACAGTAGTACACACCAACACAGTAGTACACACCAGCACAGTAGTACACACTAACACAGTAGTACACACCAACACAGTAGTACACACCAACACAGTAGTACTCACTAGCACAGTAGTACACACCAACACAGTAGTACACACCAGCACAGTAGTACACACTAACACAGTAGTACACACCAACACAGTAGTACACACCAGCACAGTAGTACTCACTAACACAGTAGTACACACCAACACAGTAGTACACACCAGCACAGTAGTACACACTAACACAGTAGTACACACCAACACAGTAGTACACACCAACACAGTAGTACACACCAGCACAGTAGTACTCACTAACACAGTAGTACACACCAACACAGTAGTACACACCAGCACAGTAGTACACACTAACACAGTAGTACACACCAACACAGTAGTACACACCAACACAGTAGTACACACTAACACAGTAGTACACACCAACACAGTAGTCAACACTAACACAGTAGTACACACCAACACAGTAGTACTCACTAGCACAGTAGTACACACCAACACAGTAGTACACACCAACACAGTAGTACACACCAACACAGTAGTACACACCAACACAGTAGTACACACCAACACAGTAGTACACACTAACACAGTAGTACACACCAACACAGTAGTACTCACTAGCACAGTAGTACACACCAACACAGTAGTACTCACTAGCACAGTAGTACTCACTAGCACAGTAGTACACACCAGCACAGTAGTACACACCAACACAGTAGTACACACCAACACAGTAGTACACACCAGCACAGTAGTACACACCAACACAGTAGTACACACCAACACAGTAGTACTCACTAGCACAGTAGTACACACCAACACAGTAGTATACACCAGCACAGTAGTACACACCAACACAGTAGTACACACCAACACAGTAGTACTCACTAGCACAGTAGTACACACCAACACAGTAGTACACACCAACACAGTAGTACTCACTAGCACAGTAGTACACACCATCACAGTAGTACTCACTAGCACAGTAGTACACACCAACACAGTAGTACACACCAGCACAGTAGTACACACCAACACAGTAGTACACACTAACACAGTAGTACACACCAACAAAGTAGTACACATTAACACAGTAGTACACACCAACACAGTAGTACACACTAACACAGTAGTACACACCAACACAGTAGTACTCACTAGCACATTAGTACACACCAACACAGTAGTACTCACTAGCACAGTAGTACTCACTAGCACAGTAGTACACACCAGCACAGTAGTACACACCAACACAGTAGTACACACCAACACAGTAGTACACACCAGCACAGTAGTACACACCAACACAGTAGTACACACCAACACAGTAGTACTCACTAGCACAGTAGTACACACCAACACAGTAGTATACACCAGCACAGTAGTACACACCAACACAGTAGTACACACCAACACAGTAGTACTCACTAGCACAGTAGTACACACCAACACAGTAGTACACACCAACACAGTAGTACTCACTAGCACAGTAGTACACACCAACACAGTAGTACTCACTAGCACAGTAGTACACACCAACACAGTAGTACACACCAGCACAGTAGTACACACTAACACAGTAGTACACACCAACACAGTAGTACACACCAACACAGTAGTACTCACTAGCACAGTAGTACACACCAACACAGTAGTACTCACTTGCACAGTAGTACACACCAACACAGTAGTACTCACTAGCACAGTAGTACACACCAGCACAGTACTACGCTCCATCGTGACCACAGCCAGGTGACACCGTGACCACAGCCAGGTGACACCGTGACCACAGCCAGGTGACACTGTGACCACATCCAGGTGACACCGTGACCACAGCCAGGTGACACAGTGACCACAGCCAGGTGACACCGTGACCACATCCAGGTGACACTATGACCACAGCCAGGTGACACTGTGACCACAGCCAGGTGACACCGTGACCACATCCAGGTGACACCGTGACCACAGCCAGGTGACACTGTGACCACAGCCAGGTGACACTGTGACCACAGCCAGGTGACACTGTGACCACAGCCAGGTGACACCGTGACCACAGCCAGGTGACACAGTGACCACAGCCAGGTGACACTATGACCACAGCCAGGTGACACTGTGACCACAACCAGGTGACACTGTGACCACAGCCAGGTGACACTGTGACCACAGCCAGGTGACACCGTGACCACAGCCAGGTGACACCGTGACCACAGCCAGGTGACACTGTGACCACAGCCAGGTGACACTGTGACCACAGCCAGGTGACACCGTGACCACATCCAGGTGACACTATGACCACAGCCAGGTGACACTGTGACCACAACCAGGTGACACTGTGACCACAGCCAGGTGACACTATGACCACAGCCAGGTGACACTGTTACCACAGCCAAGTAACACTGTGACCACTGCCAGGTGACACCGTGACCACAGCCAGGTGACACTGTGACCACAGCCAGGTGAAACTATGACCACAGCCAGGTGACACCGTGACCACAGCCAGGTGACACAGTGACCACAGCCAGGTGACACTATGACCACAGCCAGGTGACACTGTGACCACAGCCAGGTGACACTGTGACCACAGCCAGGTGACACTGTGACCACAGCCAGGTGACACCGTGACCACAGCCAGGTGACACTGTGACCACAGCCAGGTGACACTGTGACCACAGCCAGGTGACACTGTGACCACAGCCAGGTGACACCGTGACCACATCCAGGTGACACTATGACCACAGCCAGGTGACACTGTGACCACAACCAGGTGACACTGTGACCACAGCCAGGTGACACTATGACCACAGCCAGGTGACACTGTTACCACAGCCAAGTAACACTGTGACCACTGCCAGGTGACACCGTGACCACAGCCAGGTGACACTGTGACCACAGCCAGGTGAAACTATGACCACAGCCAGGTGACAACGTGACCACAGCCAGGTGACACAGTGACCACAGCCAGGTGACACTGTTACCACAGCCAGGTGACACTGTGACCACAGCCAGGTGACACTGTGACCACAGCCAGGTGACACTGTGACCACAGCCAAGTGACACTGTGACCACAGCCAGGTGACACTGTGACCACAGCCAGGTGACACTGTGACCACAGCCAGATGACACTGTGACCACAGCCAGGTGACACAGTGACCACAGCCAGGTGACACTATGACCACAGCCAGGTGACACAGTGACCACAGCCAGGTGACACTATGACCACAGCCAGGTGACACTGTGACCACAGCCAGGTGACACAGTGACCACAGCCAGGTGACACTGTGACCACAGCCAGGTGACACTGTGACCACAGCCAGGTGACACAGTGACCACAGCCAGGTGACACTGTGACCACAGCCAGGTGACACCGTGACCACAGCCAGGTGACACTGTGACCACAGCCAGGTGACACTGTGACCACAGCCAGGAGACACTATGACCACAGCCAGGTGACACAGTGACCACAGCCAGGTGACACTGTGACCACAGCCAGGTGACACTGTGACCACAGCCAGGTGACACCGTGACCACAGCCAGGTGACACAGTGACCACAGCCAGGTGACACAGTGACCACAGCCAGGTGACACAGTGACCACAGCCACATGACACAGTGACCATAGCCAGGTGACACCGTGACCACAGCCAGGTGACACCGTGACCACAGCCAGGTGACACAGTGACCACAGCCACATGACACAGTGACCACAGCCAGGTGACACCGTGACCACAGCCAGGTGACACAGTGACCACATCCAGGTGACACTGTGACCACATCCTGGTGACACTCTGACCACAGCCAGGTGACACTGTGACGACAGCCAGGTGACACCGTGACCACAGCCAGGTGACACTGTGACCACAGCCAGGTGACACTGTGACAACAGCCAGGTGACACTGTGACCACTGCCAGGTGACACCATGACCACAGCCAGGTGACACCATGACCACAGCCAGGTGACACCGTGACCACATCCAGGTGACACCGTGACCACAGCCAGGTGACACCGTGACCACATCCAGGTGACACCGTGACCACATCCAGGTGACGCAGTGACCACATCCAGGTGACACCGTGACCACATCCAGGTGACACCGTGACCACATCCAGGTGACACCGTGACCACAGCCAGGTGACACCGTGACCACATCCAGGTGACACCGTGACCACATCCAGGTGACACCGTGACCACATCCAGGTGACACCGTGACCACATCCAGGTGACACCGTGACCACATCCAGGTGACACCGTGACCACATCCAGGAGACACCGTGACCACAGCCAAGTGACACTGTGACCACAGCCAGGTGACACTGTGACCACATCCAGGTGACACTGTGACCACAGCCAGGTGACACTGTGACCACAGCCAGGTGACACTGTGACCACAGCCAGGTGACACTGTGACCACAGCCAGGTGACACTGTGACCACAGCCAGGTGACACTGTGACCACAGCCAGGTGACACTGTGACCACAGCCAGGTGACACAGTGACCACAGCCAGGTGACACTGTGACCACAGCCAGGTGACACTGTGACCACAGCCAGGTGACACTGTGACCACAGCCACATGACAGTGACCACAGCCAGGTGACACCATCGTGATCCTAAACTTTCCTGTTCCAACAGGACCGAGAAAGAGGATCTAACCAGGCCATGAAATAAGTCGACCAACATGGAATGTTCGCCGCCGTTACCTGCACCTCAAGGTAAACAGTTCAGCACCCGAGGCCAGCCAGCACCTCAAGGTAAACAGTTCAGCACCCGAGGCCAGCCAGCACCTCAAGGTAAACAGTACAGCACCCGAGGCCAGCCTGCACCTCAAGGTAAACAGTACAGCACCCGAGGCCAGCCAGCACCTCAAGGTAAACAGTACAGCACCCGAGGCCAGCCTGCACCTCAAGGTAAACAGTACAGCACCCGAGGCCAGCCAGCACCTCAAGGTAAACAGTACAGCACCCGAGGCCAGCCTGCACCTCAAGGTAAACAGTACAACACCCGAGGCCAGCCAACACATCAAGGTAAACAGTACAGCACCCGAGGCCAGCCTGCACCTCAAGGTAAACAGTACAACACCCGAGGCCAGCCAGCACCTCAAGGTAAACAGTACAACACCCGAGGCCAGCCTGCACCTCAAGGTAAACAGTACAGCACCCGAGGCCAGCCAGCACCTCAAGGTAAACAGTACAGCACCCGAGGCCAGCCTGCACCTCAAGGTAAACAGTACAGCACCCGAGGCCAGCCAGCACGTCAAGGTAAACAGTACAGCACCCGAGGCCAGCCTGCACCTCAAGGTAAACAGTACAACACCCGAGGCCAGCCTGCACCTCAAGGTAAACAGTTCAGCACCCGAGGCTAGCCAGCACCTCAAGGTAAACAGTACAGCACCCGAGGCTAGCCAGCACCTCAAGGTAAACAGTACAGCACCCGAGGCCAGCCTGCACCTCAAGGTAAACAGTACAACACCCGAGGCCAGCCTGCACCTCAAGGTAAACAGTACAGCACCCGAGGCCAGCCAGCACCTCAAGGTAAACAGTACAGCACCCGAGGCCAGCCTGCACCTCAAGGTAAACAGTACAACACCCGAGGCCAGCCAACACATCAAGGTAAACAGTACAGCACCCGAGGCCAGCCAACCTGCATCTGAAAGTAAACAGTTCAGCACCCGAGGCCAGCCTGCTCCTCAAGGTAAACAGTACAACACCCGAGGCCAGCCAGCACCTCAAGGTAAACAGTACAGCACCCGAGGCCAGCCAGCACCTCAAGGTAAACAGTACAGCACCCGAGGCCAGCCAGCACATCAAGGTAAACAGTACAGCACCCGAGGCCAGCCAACCTGCATCTGAAAGTAAACAGTTCAGCACCCGAGGCCAGCCTTCTCCTCAAGGTAAACAGTTCAGCACCCGAGGCCAGCCTGCTCCTCAAGGTAAACAGTTCAGCACCCGAGGCCTTCCAGGTCATCAAGGTAAACAGTACAGCACCTGAGGCCAGCAAGCACGTCAAGGTAAACAGTACAGCACCCGAGGCCAGCCAGCACGTCAAGGTAAACAGTACAGCACCCGAGGCCAGCCTGCACCTCAAGGTAAACAGTACAACACCCGAGGCCAGCCAGCACCTCAAGGTAAACAGTACAACACCCGAGGCCAGCCTGCACGTCAAGGTAAACAGTACAGCACCCGAGGCCAGCCTGCTCCTCAAGGTAAACAGTACAGCACCCGAGGCCAGCCAGCACGTCAAGGTAAACAGTACAGCACCCGAGGCCAGCCAGCACGTCAAGGTAAACAGTACAGCACCCGAGGCCAGCCAGCACCTCAAGGTAAACAGTACAGCACCCGAGGCCAGCCAGCACGTCAAGGTAAACAGTACAGCACCCGAGGCCAGCCTGCTCCTCAAGGTAAACAGTACAGCACCCGAGGCCAGCCAGCACGTCAAGGTAAACAGTACAGCACCCGAGGCCAGCCAGCACGTCAAGGTAAACAGTACAGCACCCGAGGCCAGCCTGCACCTCAAGGTAAACAGTACAGCACCCGAGGCCAGCCAGGACGTCAAGGTAAACAGTACAGCACCCGAGGCCAGCCTGCACCTCAAGGTAAACAGTACAGCACCCGAGGCCAGCCTGCACCTCAAGGTAAACAGTACAGCACCCGAGGCCAGCCAGCACCTCAAGGTAAACAGTACAGCACCCGAGGCCAGCCAGCACCTCAAGGTAAACAGTTCAGCACCCGAGGCCAGCCTGCACCTCAAGGTAAACAGTACAGCACCCGAGGCCAGCCAGCACCTCAAGGTAAACAGTACAGCACCCGAGGCCAGCCAGCACCTCAAGGTAAACAGTTCAGCACCCGAGGCCAGCCTGCACCTCAAGGTAAACAGTACAGCACCCGAGGCCAGCCAGCACCTCAAGGTAAACAGTATTACTGAGTTCTGGACCATTATCTGATAGGATTACTTTAGGCATACTATATCTACAAATTATTTAGTCATGGAATGCACTGGCTATAGTTTCTGCTGTTTTGTTCGGGATAGGAACTCGCTCGCAAAACCGTGACAAAATATGAACCATTACAAGCAAGTGTTTGTTCCCTTTTTCTGTTTTCGCAAAATTTGTCAACAAATCCATTGGTACTCGTTCCCAAGGAGTTTTAGTCGTTGGGTAAACCTGAGTTGGATTCGGTCCTGCTACCTGCTGTAAGCATGTCAAACATCTGTCAACATAATGAGCAATCTCCTTGGCCATTTTTGGACAAAAATACTTCAATCGACCTTGCTGAAGTGTACGATCCTTTCCTGGATGTGCACTTGTGGGAGCATCATGAATAATCTTTAACACAGTTGGTACCAAGACACCTGGAACAACTACCTGACAACACTTCCTCAGGGCTGTCCCTAGCTTTACTACTCTACACAGTAAATTGTCAAACATCACTAACTCTTTCAATGGTACTGGAGGTTTGTGAATCGGGCGAGTATCTTGCTTAGTTAAAAACTTAATGATGGGTGCCCATATGGGGTCTTGTCTCTGTTCCGTCTCGACTACTGTACCGTCTAATGCTGGGTAATTTTACTGAATTGCAGCTAATTGTCTAGAAAACGCATCCGCTACAATATTTTGCTTTCCTGGAATATAACCAAATGTGGGACTGAACTCTTGAATTGTGAGCAAATATCTAGCAAACTTTCCAACAGGATTCTTATTCTTGAACAAAGGAATCACTGGTTGGTGATCTGTAAGAACACGAACTGGGTAATTATAAATTGTATCCCTGAAATGTTTAAAAGCCCATACAACTGCTAGAGCTTCACGTTCTGTTACACTAAATTTGTTCTCTTCTTTAGATAATGTACGCATAAACTTTTGCGTGATCTTCTGTTTGAAGTAATGCAGCACCTAAGCCAATGTCACTAGCATCTGTAACCAACGTAAAAGGTTTAGAAAAATCTGGGTACCTAAGGACAGGTGACGAGATCAAGGCTGTCTTGAGTTTTTTGAATGAATGTTCCTGGGCTTCTTCCCAAACAAAGGGTTCATCTTTTCTTTGCAATTTATAAAGTGGAGCGGCTATAATAGAGAATCCAGCAATAATTGAACGATAAAATCCTTCAAGACCTGTGAACTGTCTCACGGCTTCTGCAGTACAAGGCGTTGGAAAATCACGGGCAGCAATAATTTTTTATTCATTCAATGTAATGCCTGAAGACGTAACTGTATGACCCTGGAAATTAATCTTCTTTAAAAACAAACACTTTGCCAGTTTTATTTTTAAATTAACTTCTGTGAGCTTTGCAAGTACTTTCTCAAGGTTCTGGAAATGAGTCTGAACATCTTGCGACATGATTATGAGATCATCAAGGTAAACTATAAGAGTACTTCCTATCAATCTACGAAATAGATTCGTCATGAGCCGTAAAAAGGTTATTGGACTACCCCACAAACCAAATGGCATTCTTTTGAAATTAAAATTACCATTGGGAGTACTAAAGGCTGTCAACTGTTTATTTCCTCATCAAGGGGGATTTGCCAGAATCCCTGCAACAAATCTCACATTGAGAATACTTTGTTTCTACCAATACTTTGCAACAAATCATTTAAGACTGGAAGTGGGAAACGATCAGGTATAGTTACTCTGTTAAGCTTCCGATAATCGATTACAGGTCTCCAAGTACCATCTCGCTTTGGTACAAGAATCAATGGAGCGTTCCATAGAGAATTACTAGACTCAATTACATCACTCTGTAACATTTCCTCTATGAATCTATCAGCTTCTGCCCTCTGTGAATGTGGTAGATGGTAAGCTGGTACATAAATTGGCATAGTTCCTTACTCAAGGGGAATTTTATGTGTAATAAGAGGAGTGAGACCTAACTTTTCTCCTGGTAGAGCAACAACGGCTCTATTCCTGTTCAAAATTTCCAAAAGCTGAACCACAGAGTCAGGAAAATCAGTAGAACTGAGGTGTTGCGCTTGCACATCTGGCTGAGATCCCTGTTCTCCAGGTGTGAATGTACACACAGTATGTTCCATGGAGACATCATCCACAACTCGCACCAGTAAAACCACTAATGGGCAAAATCTACAACATTGGTGCCAGACTGGAGATGAATGTCGGTATTACGAGTGTTTGCAATGTACAATATAACAGTACCATCCTGCACTGTGTGCCAGGAGGGTTCAACAAACGTACAGTTCACTTTACATGTTTCACCTTCCGCAATAACACCAAATAACTCAGGCACTCCCTGAACATTAACTCTTACTCTGGTGAGAGAATGAGAGTGCAGCAGTGTCAATAGCTATTGAACCACTGACTTCAGAGATGGAAGCTGCCAGGCGAGCAAGACAATGAGAATCCGTTAAGGCGTCCCCCCCTCCAGAAGGTCTCGATACTCACTCTCCTTAACAACTGTACAACTACAATGCTTCAATTGAGTCCCTGTATTCTCGGGTATGCTACTGCGACAAGGATATGACAAACCTACGCTAGCAAGTCTGGCCTCGACAAAATTAACGTTGTCGGATTGAAGGTTGAACTCATGGCGCAGTCTATACATGTTGCACAAGGGTATGATGTGGTCTTTGATACTAATATTCCAACGATGGGGAAACAATGCGATGTTCATATCAATCATGCTTTACAAACCTAGAAGAATGTCACCAGGAAAATGGATATAGTCAACAACTAAACATGTTATAGGCAGTGTGATGTCATCTAACTTGAATGGAAGGTCAATTTCCCCCTGAACTTTTACTGTATTTTCTGAAACACCACTTAGAAAAGGTATGGGTGACTTTCTTACTGGAGTAGAGTGCTTACTTGCCATATCGGGAGCCGGTCGGCCGAGCAGACAGCACGCTGGACTTGTGATCCTGTGGTCCCGGGTTCGATCCCTGGCGCCGGCGAGAAACAATGGGCAGAGTTTCTTTCACCCTATGCCCCTGTTACCTAGCAGTAAAATAGGAACCTGGGTGTTTGTCAGCTGTAACGGGCTGCTTCCTGGGGGTGGAGGCCTGGTCAAGGACCGGGCCGTGGGGACACTAAAAAGCCCCGAAATCATCTCAAGATGATTAATATTAATTTTTGCACCCGAGTTTTTTTTTTGCACCAAACTTTTAAAATTCTACTTTGTACAATGGCTGAGACAAGAGGACCATCACTTGAGAATGGACAAGTTACTACTTGTGATTTAAGTTGCCTAGGAAGTCTGCGTCTCGTCTGGGTCAAATTCCCTGTGGTTCCATCAACATCTACAACTGGTCGAGAGTCAATGTCCTCTTCTGTGAAGTCTCCAAATCTATTTTGGGTAGGTACTGAGTACACAGAGTAGGACTGGCTAACTTGAATTGGTTAGCAGATGGCTTTGGGGGTTTCCCAATGACATGGAGTGAACATTCCGAACTCCAGCATTCTGTGATCGAGTATTATAATTGGATGTTGTATTATGGCTGGACTGGGAGTTGTAATTACATGAGTTCTGATAATGTCTCGGACACTGCGCCTCGCCAATACTGACCGTGGGAGTTACGAGGTGGGGATGTCCTTTGCCTAGCTTTACAATCCGCAGTGTGGTGACCAACTTGTTTAAGGTATCTGCAATATGGGAGCCTAGAATTATTAGATTTACGAGGAGACTGAGAGAATTGTCTAGGGGTGATGATCTAGGAGCGGACTAACAGTCCCTTGCGAGGTGGTTAGTCTTACCACAATGCCAACATGAGGGAATGGATGGTTGTGGGCTATGGCGTCTTGGCAACTTATGAGGAGGAGAATTTGACTGCGGGCTATGACCATGGGTGCGGTTCTGCGACAAAGAGTTTTGAGAGTTCATGGGAGGATGCTGAGAGCTTGTTACTACATTCACAGTGTCAGAGGATGGCAACAGTTGAGCACTTCGGGGAGCTAGTTTATTGGCGGCATTGTTAATAGCCTCAAACATTTCACCAATTTCATGCTGAACTCCAAAATTTTGCTGTTCGATGATGGGTTTAGTATGCTCCGGGGCAAAATGCATTAAAGTCCCAAATGCTATCATTTTGGCCATAGACTCTGGGGTCAGTGTTTTGTCTTTATCCACCCATAATGAACTAATCATAGCAGTCATTAAGGCTACTGATCGAGACGGCTAGTAAATGCATTAAACGATTCACCAGGCTGCATGGTGGCATTGGCGATTTTCTTGACTAACCTACACGGGGTCGAGGTCTCCTTTGTTAACAAAGCACCGGCGAAAGGAATCCATAAATTCAGACCAAGACTGAGACTAACAATGGCTTTCTCGTCTACCACAAAACGTTCATCACCTTTGGTTGTGCCAACAGCTGACCGAGCAATCATCAGGTATTAGGCATCAGTAGGCTCAGAGAAACGGGCATTGGTATTGGCCTCATCCTGCTAAACCAGGACTCTAACAAGCGGGATTCGGCAATAAAAAGTGGAATAGTCATTTCCTGAACTGACTTGTGTACAGTAGTACAAGTAATTGCTCCATTGGAGTCAGAAGTACTTGCAACAGTGGTAGGCATTGTCACTGTCCTTGAAGTAATGTTTGAACGCAAATTATAATTAAGTGCACCAGGCATCAAAAATAAAATACACAAAAATAAAACACTAAAAAAATATTAAACTTGGCTAAAGTAAGGAAATGGCAAAAAAAAAATTGTACTAGGCAACAAAATAATAAAAAACAAGCAAAATTGCGAATTAAATTAGCAATCTGGTATGGATACGGCTGGAATTAGAGTTATATAAATTAATTAAACCAGGTTAAGCACTGCAAATTAAATTATAAAGCGGGAAAATGCAATTGCAGTTTTGATTATAAATAATTAAACACAACAAGTGGCAATGCAGGAAATATGGGTTTAGAAAATGAGAAATACTTCAATACTGAAGGAATAAATTTCAAATTAAGGTCTGGAGAAATAAAAAAAAATATATTGTGCAAACTTGAAATTGACTTGAGAATGGTCCAGGAAGGACCGGAACGTCGTCGTCCCTTCACCTTCTAGTGTGTGGTCTGGTCAACATACTTTAGCCTCGTTAGTGTGACTCATCGCTTGTATATTGTGCAAATCCTCAACTGCTACTAAAACAATTATTTCTTACTTCTCTGAACTTTTAATTTACTAATAACTCTCTAGTAGCACAATTAATACTCAATGAAATTACTGTGAGAAGCAAGAAATGTTGAAAATGACTCAGGGAAGTGTGTGAGTGGAATGACTATCAACTCCAATATTTAACAAGACACTGGAAGGTTAATGCATATGATATTGTGGATATTATTATGTATATCACTATTAAAACATGGCACAGTAAGCCTCATCTATCAATTACTTATCTCGAGAGTGCAATACATGAGAATCACCAGTAGTCAAAATAGGAGAAACATCGTGAAGGTGCGTGAAGAGGCACACATGAAGTTTGGTGATCTCAGAGTTCCCGCCGTATGCCTGGGCGAAGTAACCCTCAGAGGAAGAAAATAAAATGGTATGAGAACGATTAAATAAAGATACTTAACGCAAATGTAAGAGATATGAGTAGAGAGTACCGGAGACATCCCACTGAAAGTAACCAAGAGTTGTTTAAAACTGTGTGTCAAGTAGCCAGGGAAGAGAAGATTAAAGAGTGGGAAAGACAATGGCTTGAGTTCACTAGCTCTATTGGACGGGAAACATCTGCAAGACAAGTGTGGGCAAAAATTCAGATAGCTAAGGGGGGAGGAGGGGGGCAGAACCCGGCCGGCGGCTCACAAAGACCCCCCAGGGCAAGGCCGAGGAACTAATTCACAAGTGGAGTGATGCAGCATCCTCCTCTTTCCCTGCAGAAATCAGCAGGGAACAGCTCCTGCGATTTGATGATAGAAGAATTAGGATAACAAGAGCACTGTCTAGTTATGTTCCCCCCCTCTTTTACCTCTATTTTTATTTGTTCTCAACACATTTTATTCTTTTTACCCATTAGTTTTAAGCTTTAGTCATTAATGTTTTTCCTGCCCGAAACGCTTTGCGTAATAGTGGCTTTAGGCATTGTATGTACTAGCTCTATCTATTAAGCCAACAAACTTTGTAAAATCTCTTTATGTATGTACCTTACCTAAATAAAAATTATTATTATTATTATTATTATTATTATTATATTATTATGACGAATATGGGGAACCAATCACAGCCCAAGAAGTAAGGGGCACTATGAAAAGGGGTAAAAGTACAGCACCTGGTGAAGATGGCGTCACCTACGACATACTCAATGCACTGTGTGAAGTGTCTGGGAATCCACTACTCCACCTGTTTAACAAGTCATTCTTAAGAGGAGTGCTGCCCACACAATGGAAACACGCAATAATTGTTCCCATACCGAAGCCCAATGACCCTGGTAATTACAGACCTATCAGTCTCGTGTCATGCACTTGCAAGATGCTTGAAAGGATCATTCTAACCCGACTGTTGCACAAAATAGGCAGGTTAGGGGAGGGGGTCAATGGATTTGTTAAAGGACGGAGCACAGCAAATTGTATAGTTAATTACTTGGCTAATGACACGGCTAAGTACTCTGTATTTGTTAACATCAAAGGAGCCTTCGACAAAGCACAGGGGATTGCGATCCTGGACGAGCTTGCATGCATGGGTGTCAAGGGAAGACTCATGAAATGGGTTGAAGACTACCTCACAGGGAGGAGTGCCAAGGTTTGCTTCAATGGAGCAGTCTCCAGAACAATGAATATGGAACTCGGAACCCCCCAAGGAGGAGTCTTAAGCCCTACACTATTCAATGTACTTATGAACGCCATTGCAAATATTGATTTTCCGGAAGGAACACAACAAGTGGGATATGCAGATGATGTTCTAATACAAGCTCCAACCTTGGGAAAAATTGAACAGTCCATTGAACTCCTCGGGAGGAAATGTATTGAGCTCGGTTTCGCTCTCTCCACAAACAAGACGAAGGCATACTCCCATCACAAGCGGAGAGTAAATGAAGATCTGGAAATTAATGGTGTAACACTTGAATGGGTTGACCACTATCGGTACCTGGGCGTCACTGTCGGCTCTAGCAAGGGGAAGAAAGAGGAGCTCAATCAACTCATAGAAACATGCAAAAGTCGACTCAGGGCACTGAAAGCTATGACCTGGAATGGACATGGAGCCTCTATTGCCGTGCTTAAAATGATGTACACAGTCTATGTGCGCTCCGTCATAGACTATGCCGCACCAGTTCTGTGTACCTACCCCCAAAGTGATATGAACAGGCTTGAGAGCATTCAAAATGAAGCCATGACAATCACTTTTGGAGTTCCAAGAACTGCCAAAACGTCTAATCTATGAGAGGAGTTGTCCCACCCCAATCTTAAAAGCAGAATTAAGGAGCTGAATGCTAAGCTTGCAATTAGGATAGCCAGAGATCCCCATTACAATGATATTGCTAAGAAAAAACTGAGCTCTGTGCTACTTTCAGGGGGAAACAGGAGAAGCAAAAAATGGCATCACAGATCAGTCTGCTACCTCGAAGAGCTTCACCTGCTTGAGCAAGCCCATGAGCTCCTGCCTGTAGAGAGGTTACCTCCCTGGGAGGATGACTCATGCAAGATTATCATCAATGAAATGGCAATGAAAAAATCCCACATGTTACCACATGAAATGAGGCACAAGTATCTCGAGGAAATATATAATAAAGCCGGAGATGAACAAGATCAAATCTACACTGACGGGTCATCTAATCCCGTCAATGGAAGGGCTGGTGCAGCATACACGGTAATCAAGGATAATACTTTCCAACGCAGAAATGAAGAAAGAGCGCGTATTGAGAACTATGCCTCTTCAACACAAGCAGAGCTCACTGCCATTGTTATGGCGTTAAGGTTTCTTGAACGGAACACTAATGGTGCAGTGATTTGCACCGATTCAAAAGCAGCACTGCAAAGCCTAAGTAAAAATCGGGCAGAAAATCTTGCAATAGTCGCTGAAATTAAGAGAGCTGTAAGAGTACTTACCATTCAGGGAAGAGTCGTCAAGTTTCTGTGGATCCCCTCCCATGTTGGAATATGTGGGAATGAACGAGCAGATATACTGGCTGCTGAAGGCGGTGAAGGAGACCATATTGAATACTTCATACTCAATACTCTACTACAAATTAGAGGTATTGTCAGGCAACATCACCGTGACAAGGTAACTGAGGAAAGGAAGATAGAAGCACAAACCAGTGAATCTGTACGATGGTACAACATGGTTGCAGCTGGCAATCCCAGTCATTATGGCCGAAGAGGAGGAGGACGAGGGAGAGAATCAGTAACAGCGAGAATCCGTCTTGGATACAAATATCCTTGGAGATATGGAATGGAAACAACAGTTGATCAGCGAAGTTGTAGAATCTGTGGTGAGAGTGATGGACACCGCCTTGAACACTATCTACGTGAATGTGAACACCTGAGAGAAATCAGAACTATGTGTAGAATAATAAACCCCACATTGTTTGAGTTAGGAAAACACTATTTGTCAAATATTGATACTGTTCTTAAAAGATTCCCCCATTTTGCACCCGTAAGATAACGTAAGCTTTTAAGGGTTAATAGATGTTAATCTTCTTGTTTGAGGAGCTGTTCACTTGAGACAGTTAAGCAAGTCCCAGCAGTGTCTGGGTACAAGTGACAGGATGAACAACCCAGCGGGTTTTCTTCCTATTGGTGAGTGTTGTACATGCTGCTATGGCGGTATGTCCACTCACAAGATGAGTGTCGCTGCCCAATAAACTCGCCCCTCGGGGCAAAATTAAAAAAAAAAATTAACATGAAGTTTGTTTACATCTGGGGCGACAGTCAGCACTCCTTGCGGCCGTGGCACGAAGCTCTGGGGACCCCACACTACAAATGATGTCAGGACCATGAGGATTGTTACGGCCCTATTGGGTCGCAACCGGGTTCTTCTCTGATGTTATTAGAGTTTGGGTATCCGGCCCTAAGCTAGTAGTGGCTTTCAAATTCAGTTAAATTAAAGGGAAAGGGATACAAATGCACTGCTTTTGTATATATATTGCTACCACCGCCATAAATATATCACAGTCATACACGGGGTTGCTATAACTACACTTATTATATACAGATTAGTCTTCCTCTGAAGACACAGGATGCTCCACGGTGCTCAAGATGAGTAGCCCTGGTTCTCTTCGTCGTGGCCCACGATGAATTCTCTGATTCTCTCGGTGAATCTACCCTGGCCACAGGCCAGCCAAATCACAGTCCTACTGGGTGCACCGTCGTGGAGGCCTTCAACCACAAATCCAACCTGTAGCTGGCAGGTTCCAATCAGCTCCGCTGTGTAGGCCACTCCACGACCGATACTAGGGTTGCGAGCCCTAGGCAGGAGCCTCGTGTGATTCCGCAGATCACTCTCCTCTCTCCGCACCACAGTGGCTAGTCTCTTCCACCAGCCAGCCCCCAGATAAGACGATTCCTGGTACTGCCACATCACAGGAAGGCTAACACACTCAACAGTGCCCGTCCGGGGGTGACTCACAGCTTCCTCAGAGCAAACTCGTGGAGAGACTATGGCTGCCTTGGGTAGACTGCCCCACCGTCCAATACAGCAGTCCCAGGTCGACTCTGTAATCAGACACGTCATCAGTACTAGGGACACTCTAGGGCACCTCACTTACAGGCTTAGACACAAACGTCCACCTATCCACTCCATAGATGGCGTTGCTGTCTAAGCGCCACCTCACCAGAGGTCAGCAGCGGCTACGTTATGAGCTGATCAAGACGGGAATCCAGCACCTGTGGCCGGTATATCCTGTCCTCACTAGATGGCGCTGTCCATTTGGAGGGAGTTTCGGGAGCAGACTGGCAGATGGCGTTGTCGTCACTGCTCCGTGCTAGGACGCTGGACTCGGGTCCATAACAAGGATAAATGCCGAGACGACGATGTTGCATCGATGATGGCGAAGGAAGCTCGATTTGCTAGGCAGGAATGTAGACAGGAGTTGTTCACAGCAGAGTGGTGTGGCAGGAGACTGTGAAGATGGTGAGAGGAGGCGAGGTGGGCAAGGTGTGAGTAAGCTGGTAGCGACACTAGTCAGACATTTGCAGTCCACCAATTAATCTCGAATAACTGTACAACACACCCGATGATCAGTTGATACTTACGACGATGACTGACGACGATTGCAGTAGCTGGCAAACACTCACAATGCCTGTTACTGTCGGCTTGGGTGATGGTGGCGGGTGGCGCAGGTTCCAAGACGGCGGGAAATTAAAAAAAATGGCTGGCGGCTGGCAATTTCTTCTCCCCTCACTGAGGAAATTGCGTTCTCACTTGTAAATATTGTGCCTTACTTCTGAGAACATCGACCTAGAGGTTGATGGTAGGACCCCAGACTGGTACAATATCATTGAATATTGATGCGTGGGTGGCGGATGGCGGCTTGGCGGTGGCGGTGGCAAGAGACACGTGACAATGTGGGTACTTGAATTTTCGTTGCTCCGAAAATTAATTCTGAATCCCACAGCTGCTGCCAGTATTCGTTACCTTTAGATGTATGGTGCTTGCTCGGTTGTAGAGAATACACAGAAGTTCACTTCAGCAGTTTATTGAGTAAAGGCAACAATGTATATTATGGCCTGCCAAGGTCCTACCTACTCTGGTCTGGTGAGAATACTGACCTTGCCTCCAGAGCGGTCAGTACCAGCTCTCTGTAGGGAATGACGTCAGAGGCCTACTCGACTGTGATTGGCTATATCCCTGCCGTCATACAATTTGAGTACTAACAGTGGTCAGTAGTGTGGTAGTCCATTATATTGAGGGTAACTGTGGCGTATAGTGTGGTAGTTCATTATCATCATTTCTGTTATTATTGCAGGAAGAGGAGGAGGCAGTGTGGAGCCATGTCAGCTGGATGCGGGATTTTACATCATAGATGAGACTAAGGAGATGGCCCAGGCAGTTATAAAGCCATTTATAGCGGAAGTTGATGCTCACGAGGTAGAGTATATTATGTTCATTTTGTGAGTCACAGAGCATGCTGGCAGCATCCCCTGGTAATGATGCTGTCTGTTGGCCATCACAACACTCTCAGTCAATCAATAGTTAGTGACAGTACAGCATGAGGTACCCTGTCACTGTGGCAGTACAGCATGAGGCATTGGTACTCCATCACTGTGACAGTACCGCATGAGGCATAGGTACCCTGTCACTGTGACAGTACCGCATGAGGCATAGGTACCTGTTTACAGTGACAGTTCAGTATGAGGCATAGGTACCTGTTTACAGTGACAGTTCAGTATGAGGCATAGATACCTAGTTACTAGTTGTGGAAAGTACGCCTATGCCTGAGAGTTTTGCTTTTCCCGAGAGTCTGGCATAGGCCTTGGAGTGTTTTCAAGTTTTTCCTCATGGGCGTTTTCCGACGCCCATGAGTTTTTTTCTATTTTTACTCAACAGTACCTCACAGTCTCCTAGTATTTTAAATCATTTGACGTCTTCTCCCTTCCATCATACATAATTTTCCAAAGGGAGAATTAAAAGGCACTCTCCTGACCATACTGTTTCACCCCAGGAGATTAAACGATCGCCTCTCCTCATCCCGAAATGTGTTCACCTTGGTAACCCCGCACAGACACAGACATCACTAATGGTCAATGACATCATCAGCCAGCCGGTCTTCATCTTCCCTGAATAAGACTGTTTTCCCTGATAGCGTATTTAATCTCACTGACCATGTTTAAATCCCATTTTCATGTGTTTACCATTTTAAAAGATTATTTCTGGTTAAAGATCGCATATTGAACATAAGAATGAAATTCCAGAAGGCCTTTTGGAGGGACCAAACACTTTGTTTGGGTAAATTTATCTTCGTAGTGTTTAGTTTTGGCTCTTCTAATTATTTCAGATAGCAATGACGAGTAATTCTTTGAAAATTCTTTGGAGACGATTCCTGACCTATACTTCTTCTCAAGGTCATGTTTTTTATTAATGGATTAAAGTATTCCCTTTGTAAGCCAAGGATTGTTGAGCCTTTTAGTTGTGACTTGTTTCGTTAGCATAGGACAGTGGGTGTTATAAAGGCTGAGAGTTTTTTGAAGAAAAGATTGCACTGCTAGGTTGATGTCCCCTATGTTACCTATTTCGGACTCCCAGTTGACATTAGCAGCAGCAGCTATAAAATTGCCTATAGCAGTTTCATTGTGCAGCCTAAAGCTTATCTCCCTTGTCTCTAGATGTGGTTTGTTAATGTTAGTTAGGAGAATTGTGGGGTAATGATCTGTAGTGCTATCGATGATTATCCCTGAAGTAAGCGGAGAGGTTATGTTGGTTCAGATGTGATCAAGAGCCGTGGCAGTACTATCAGTGATTCTAGTAGGTCTAGTGATTAAGGGTATGAGGAAGCAGGAATTCATACAGTTGAGGAAGCTGGCAGCAGTAGGGTTTTCAGGCTCGCAGAGGTCAATATTAAAGTCCCCTGCGATAATTAGATGGTTTTTATTCAGTCTGTTATCTAGTATTAGATTTCTAAGGTTAGAGTTCAATTCGGACACATCAGTGTTAGGAATTCTATAGACTGCTCCCACAGTCAGGACAGACTCAGCACCCTTGACTCTGAAACCGGCGAAGATATACTCCCCACAGCAGTCTCTAGTTCTAATTACTTTTAAGCATGTTAGTTCTTGGTGGTAGTAAAGAGCAGTAACACCACATCTCTGAATTGGTCGACAGTTGTGAATTGCTGAGTAGTTTGGCATGTTAAAGAGTTGAGTAGTATCCTCTTTTAACCACGTTTCAGTAAGTATAATAAAAGATAATTTGTTGTCCATAGTTTCAATCAAGGCACTAAATTCATCGAAGTGTTTGCTTAGTGATCTTACATTCAAGGAAATTACAGAGATATTGTGATTATGTGTTAATACATTGTTTACATCATGTGCTGTAAAATATTTGCAATTTTGATCATTAAAGTGATGATTGTCGTAGATAGTGGATAAGAGGTGTAGTTCTGGGTCTATACTTGTTTGCATCAGCAGGCTGGTTGTAGGAAAACAAGGCAAGAATGGCAATTACAAAATAAAATTTTGATATAAAAGGGAGGAAAAATAAAAATATAAACAAGACTATACAAGACAAACACAAAATGAACAAAAAAAGAAAAATGAGGTAGATTGCTTACAAGTACTCTCAGGTACACTGTCAGTAATAATTTGCATTTTGAGACACAGGCAAAGCCAGGGGTACAATGGAGTAAGGGAGTATGGCGAGGCTAGGCAACCTAGGTAATAAATGAAATCAGAGAAAAAAGTTGAATAATAAACTTAGGCAAATTTAATCTAATGATTATTAACTATAAATAGTTTAGTTATGATCCTATAAATAGTAAAAACTAAAGAAAAATATTAATGCACTCAATTAATTAAGTTCAATAAATGACTAAAATAAATTAAATTAAATTTTAAATTAAAAAAGTGTAACAAAGAGACTTAGGATACCTAGCTCGCACTAGGTGACAAGGGGGTTAATTATGTTGACTCAATGAGAGGGATACTAAGGTGGGACAATCCACATTGGGAGAGGAAAGTGTTGAGGTTATCCTCATTAGCAATTGTAAACATTTTACCTTCTGAGGTCTTTCTCACTTTAATCATGCCATCTCTTACGAAGCACTGATAAATCGCATCTTGGTTTTGATTACGGATTTGACGGAGGCGGTGGAGGAGTTGCTGTCTTTTTCTAGTCAAGCACTCGTTGATGTAGATTCCGTTTCGTTGGGATGCAACTGTCCGGACAAGATGCGATTTTATGGACTGCGAAGCTAGCTTGAGGCGAATTTTTCACTGATTTTGTCCTGATGGATTCTTTTTGCCTACTCTGTAGGCAGCAATAATGTCTGTTTTATTTAGAGTAATACACAATTCGTCTTTTATGAGAGCATGAACTATTTCAATACACTTTTCACCTTCACGTTCCACAGGAATATCTTGGGACGACACAACAACAGAGTCGAGCAACTTTTGCTGATCTTGTTCATCCTGGGAGATGGAATGTTGGGCGGATAATGTACTGATACATACAGTCATTTTGTTGAGAGCTTCTTCTTGTTTTTTTTATGACTTCATCAGTTTTCAGACGAATGTTTTCCTCACGGAGATCATTCAAGTCATGCTGGAGTTGGTCTTGGCTAGCCTTATAGTTTCTAATATCCTCGCAGAGAAGGGTTATTTCTTGTTGTTGTTAATGAAGGTTCACGAGGTTCGCTTGATTCTTAGTTTGAAGACTCAGGATGATCGTATTTTGAGTCTCAAGGACTAGACACAACTTTTTAAACCACTGATTCTCGGCCCAGTGAGGGACCAGAAGCACCCTTGAATTTCGTAAAGTAGGATGGAAGCGTGGCATTAGGAGAGGATTGAGAGGACACCGCTCCCTGGCTCAGTGATGGGGTAGAGGGGAGAGCAGCACCGCCGCCGCGGACCCCAGAGCTTCCAGACGGAGAAACACGATGGCTGTCAGTGTTGGTCGGGATGGATGCCTTGTTAGGGGCTTTGTTGCTCTTATTTCCCTGCGCAGTCTTGCTTTTGCAAGACTGCGGAAGACTTCTAAATATGCACATTATTAAATCTATTTGCTTATCCCAATCCTTAGAGGTTTCATTGCAAAACTTCTTCAGGAGTGCTTTAATAGTCTGATGACTACGCTTAAGAGAACCCTGTGAAGCAGGATGATAGGGGCTGGACAATACCTGTGTGATGTTGAACTCTTCCAGTGTCCTCTTGAAGAGATCACTGGTGAAGTTGGTGCCACAGTCGCTCTGAACCTCCCTTGGAAATCCATACTGGGTGAAGATCTTCAATAAGTGTTTCACAACAGTAGCAGCCGTAATGTTCTTTACTGGAACTGCTATGGGGAATCTGGTGGTAGGACACAGGATGGTTAGTATATAGGCGTTACCAGAACTGATCCGAGGTAAAGGACCAACACAGTCTATAATAAGTCTGTGGAAAGGTTCCGCAGGCACCTGTATGGGAGTCAGTGGTGCTCTGGGGATAGAGATGTTCGGTTTACCTGCCATTTGACATGTATGACACTGTTTGACGCACTGTTTGACGCTATTTACCATTCCTGGCCAGTAGTAGTCTTGACGGATTCCGTGGTAGGTCTTGTTAAATCCGTAGTGCGAGAGTGCTCCGTGGGCCAGGTGTAGAATAGTGGGCCGCAGGCTGGCAGGAATCACTAGTTGTTCGACGTTGGCCCAATCGTCCTCCTCCTTCAGTTTACTGGGTCTGTATCTGCGGTAGAGCAACTCGTTCTCTAGGAAGAACCCAGGAATACTGTCAGGTCGAGTCTCAGCCTGGAAGAATAATGGTGTCAAGGTAAGATCTTCCCTCTGTAACTTACGGAACTCCAACGTGGTCAGATTCGGGGGTAGTTTCTGAGGGTCTTGAGGGACAGCGGTAGCAGTAGAGTCAGCTGGCTGTGGTCGTGCAGCTTGTGCACGGGTGGTCACTAAAACCGGAGGAGAAACTTCATCACTCTCTTGAACCTTTGCTGGAACATACTCAAAGATGGGATTATCCATTACAGAGGTACACACCTGTGGTTTGTCCATGACGATCAGGTTGGTCGGTTGCAGGTCTTCTGCCAAGTCGTTGCCCAGGAGAAGTTGCACTCCAGGCATGGGAAAAGGCTTTTCCCTGATGGCGACTTGGACTTCTCCGGTCACGAAGGGACAATCCAGGTGGACTCTGGCGAGAGGATAAGGAGTGGTAGCAGTGAGGTCAGTGATGAAGACGGTTTCCCCGGTGTAGGCGATATTGGGCGCAGCTGATTTCAAAATAATTGATTGAAGAGCAGCTGTGTCCCTCAAGATCTTCAATTTGAAACGTCCCTCCGAATCTGAACCGTTGGTAGAGACAGTTCCAGGATACAGGTGTTTACTGAAGAGAGAAAGATCATTAACATGAACACCAACATTCATCACAGGCTTACCGGACTTG